AAGTTAAGGAGCATATATACATTGACATTGATACGTCTACAAGTATTGTTTTAAGTTTTACTATATCTTAATTAATATTATTAACAGATGTCTTGGGAAATTATTTTTTGTCAGAGCTTCTTATAAATTTAAAATCTTACCCCAGGCTGCAGTACACGCTTTCTTCATGAAGTGGGTAACGTTGCCGGTCATCAACCTAACCAGCAGGAGGTATAGGTTGATAGCCTCCACGGCCATCCACAAAATGGCAGCAAGAGTGAAGTAATGCATGAGGACAGCTACAATGCTACACCATGTCCCACAAGGAGGAGCTTCAATACCTGTCAAGAAAATGACGTACAATCCAAGCAGGGCAAAGCAGAGGTTGATCAGGATCCGATGTGGTTGTCTGCTACGGAACCTCCTGCAGCCACAAAAGACAAAAAGTCATAAATTGTCATGACTATCCGGAAGTCCAAGTGCACTTTAATAGAACTGCGCCAATCGTGCCCCTCAATAAAGATAACCTACCAAAAAGGGCAGCCACTTTGTAAAAGTAAATTGTCCATCCGGAAACACGGTAACAATTAAACTAGAAATGGAAAAGCATGCCTTGCATCTATTTTGTATTCTTTCAGGTAGCCAAAGATTGAAGCTTGCCTTGCATTCAGTTTGCATTCTCTCAAGTAACCAAGGCCTCTGCTTAAATCAACCGCCACTGTGCACGTACTGAAACAACTATAGGGTTTAGAGACGCTTCAGCAATTTTCCTCAGACTCGTAATCCATTCCGGGTGACAACTGATAGAGTTGGACAGTGGCCAACTTACCTGAAGGCGAGATGGGTTATCAAGGTACCAACAATAGCCAGTGTAGACAAAGTGCATATGAGTTTACTGATGACGTCAAGGGCAACGCTGCTTCTCCCATAAATATCCTGAGCAAGGCAATAGTATTGTTTTAGACAATGTATACATCGAACTAAAATCGATAATAATTTTGTTAATTTAAAACTACATAGAGAAGGTCTTCAGATACTTAGATATGTTAAGAAAAATAGTGCCTTTTCTTACCACAAGTACAGCAAAGCTGGTCAGATGATCACATACACAAACGATTTTTTTCTCATGATCAAACTGCCGTCTACATCCCTTGTTGGACCAGTCACCAAAGCCATTATTGAGGGTGAAATCCCAGTAGACGCACTTTGACCTGCATTCATACGCATCCACTCTCTCACTTTTACTGTCGCTCTGTAAACAGAAGAGTTATCAAACAAAAATAATCATTACTTTTTGAAAAGGATTTTAGGATGAGATCGTCAAATGAAGCATTTCAGGCCATCAAAGGAACTGTAAAAACCAAATTACATCAATTGGGTAGAATTCAGTCGTGACGGAAGATGGTAAATGCTTCATCTGGACTCCTTCCACTGTCACAGAAATGATGTGACTGCCAACGGAACGCCGGAATTCACCAGGGATTTCAGTAGCGCGAAGAGTCGGGGAACGGAACAACTTGTTGTTTTGGTAGATAATTGCACTTAAGTTCACAGTTCCCTCTACATTTTAGAAACGTGAAAATTCAATTAATGATACACAAATTGAAGTGTTGCGGATAACATTTCACAGTACATCATGTCTCTGCACAGAAAACACATTAAAGTTACGCGTTGCCCGTAAACTGACAAGCAGGAAGTAAAACATCTGTATATAAACCATCTTTAAAACATATCCTCTCTTTTTCTCCATTTCAAAACGCTGATTTTGAATGCCAAGAAAATATCAGTTCACTTTTTGAATACAGGTTTTCTCGGCCTTTTAATTTTTTTCATTCGGATTCACCAATTAAAACTTTGTTTAGTCTAAGAAAGAAAATACACAATTTTGCCAGAAACTTATATAAAAAAGCTGGAAACTTCTGCTCGTGGTTTGAATTTGCTTGACCAACAAAATGTTAACTCTAAGACTGACGAAAATGGACATTGCAAGTGCTCTGACTTAATTGCCCTGGAGGATGTTGACAATACCCATCTGTAAATCAGAATTAAAGAAATTGGAAAAAGTTGGTGCAAGCTATAATATTTTAGCTATAGGCAGAACTATTTATCTCATTACAGAACTGAATGAACTTTTGTACAATAAAGTTTCATATTTGCAAAGCATGTTGTGGTTTTATTTACCATTTGAACCGACACGAAGAGCTTCAGCAGGGAGAAATATAGATGTTTCTGTATCTAATGAGGCATTGCGTTCAGGAAGGACGACGACATCGTTTTCTGTTAACTCAAGGGATTCGTCATCCACTTTAGTTGCAACCCAGACACCACTGCGGCGTGAATCTTCGGGTAGTTTGAGCGCCAAGACAGCAACCTTGGTCTGTGTCTCGGTAAAGTTGTCGTTAGCTTCAAGCTGCAAGGTCGTAGTGTACGATTCTAAGGCTTGGACAATCTGAGACGGTGACTTGTCATCAATTTGGTCAAAGGTAGCTTGGTCAACCTGAAGGATGTTGTTAACAGTCACCACAATGTCTGAGGCAATCTAACAAAAGTAATAATACAATTTTAAAGCTCTAGCTTCAGCCTTGATATAGGAAAAACTTAAATCTTTAAAAAGTAATATGACAACGAAATTAGAAGCCATCACTGCGGTGGCACAACGATCGTGGACAGGTAGGCGAGGGGTATGACTATTCGACCCGTAGGGTCTGCATCACTGATCTCCAGTATAATAAAGATCATTCGTCTGCACACAAAACTGTTCTCGTGACGTATTTACTTTATTACTCTATATAATCAATGGATTTCGCAACACGTTGTGCAACTTTGACTTAAAAATGTACAGCAATGTGTGAGTAGAAAAAAAATACCTCTGTGGAAGGTTTTGCGACAGCCGCTAAGTCTTGCAAAATTTCTGCAATCGAAGTAGTGCCCTGTGAGTTCAACTCAGTCTACTTTCTGGCCAAACGTGCCACTGTCTCGGCAATCACATTTGCGTTTTCATGTGTCACGACAATCTGTGTATAAACAATAGACACACTGATATACCTGTACAATCAAACGTCAGTTTCTTTATTTTCAGTTCGGTATCATTTTCACCTCTAAACATCATCTAAATTTCACCAAAGATTTCTTTGGAATAAATCCAGAATAGGTCTTCATGCATTCATGAATACCTTGTGTTGGAACTCCTGCAAAAATTCTGGGTTGGTTTCAGTGGAAGAGAACCTTTACCTTTCATAACTTCAAGATAAGCTCCTTGAAAATAACATTCACATCACATTTTCAAGTATTCAATACCTAATATTTGTAATAACAGGAGTTGACCAGTACCTTACTCGAACAGCCGAGGAGCCCGTTGATGTCCTTATCAGTACTCTGACATATGTCTGGCACTAGTGTGCTCGCTAGATCTGGTCCAAAAAATACCAAAGGGTTTACAGTATCGGGAATAAATCTTGACTTGCGTCTTTGAATTGGGATTCATGCTAGGAGCAGAATGTTAAATTAATAATGATGTTCAGCAGTAACAATGGTAACAATTGGTAACAGCGGTAACAATTATTTAAAGTATAACAAGTACACGTATTGAGTTTTAAATCTGTACCGACGATTTTGGTTCGCGGATAAATGACACGGCCTAAAAACGGTTTATATCCTGTAACACATTAACTCTGTCTTACCGTGCAGGTTAACGCTAAATGTGAATCTTTCAAGCACCTCACATCCATTCGAATCAAAAGCTGAACAAGTTACTGTGTGCGACCCCTCCTTAAACAGCCCACCAGTGACGGTCACATCCCCGGGGCCATAGCCAGGAGATGCACAACCAATGCCAGTGGCGATCTCAGTCTGATTCCCAGTCACTTCGTCCCAGGTGACAAACACAGGCTCTTTATTGGCATCAAACTCCACACCATCTGGTATAGACAGCGATAAATCCGGACATTCTGAACAGCAATTGAAATGAAACAAAGAAAGCGTTGGATCTAGAATCAAAGTCTCATTCCATGAGAACAAAACGTTAAAGCAGAGAAAGGATTATGATTTGTCAGTTAAATCTCCACTACTATTACACACGATCTTACTACGTCCTCATTAAATCGGAGGAGCATGGCCAATTATGGTGAGAACTTGTATATCTCAGTAAGAACTCAGTGGGAACTGATAGCAACGTGGTAAGAGCTTCATGGACGGGGAAGTCGTGTCAAAATTTTGAATATGCAAATCTTCCGTGACGTCAAATTCGCCTCACTTTCACATTGGCCTAAAGTGTGAACTAGCCTTTACATTGCACAGTAATGTCAGTGGGTGACTCTTTAGACATAAGTCTGTTGTAAAATGGCGAATGTGACTACGTGAGGGCCGTTCGATTCGTTCTCCAAAACAGACGTGGGCATATAGGAACTTGTGGGAGATACTGACGCTGCTGAACAAGAAACAAGTAAGCAGTTAGACGAATTGGCAAGACGGACAGGAACATCTGTTGACTGACTTTACAACTAGATAACTTCTTTTCACGATTTTACGCAGGACTGAGAAGGATACCTGTACGTTATAATGAAATCAACTTGACATCCGATTTAAGAAGAAAGTTTAAAAACAACGAATGGAATGTTCGTGCATGGAACATTTCACACATTACCCCCACAAATCATTCTTACCACTGCGCCCATAAACGTTTATTTTTAAACTTATATACGTACCAATATCACACAAAGCTCCCATTTTCCCTGCCTGACAGGAACACGGTGGACCACGAGTCATGTCATTGTTTATAGGGCCGACACACATTCCACAGCTTGGAGGGACCCCAGAAGCCG